GATAAAACTTGAAAGATACATTTCTACTTAGAAAAAGGGGTTTAATGCAAGAAACCTTTAGAGAGGAAAACATAGTGGAGAGAGAAGGAAATTACTAAAGCAAGATGGAAGTAGAAAAACATTTCTACAAACAGAAAGAGTCGAGAAACATGGATTATAAGATTAGAGAGAGAGAGGGAGGGAGTTGGTTTGAGAGGGAGAGAGTTGGGTTAGCAAGGGAAGAGAGAGATGGAAAAAGAAATTATGCACTATATGCTCATTTTTAGTTTTTTTACGGAACACTACAAGCTATATACCATTTTTATTTTTATTTTTTTTTGGTTTCACTCTGTAAGGAAATTTAACAGAGAAATTAAATCTTTAGCTTGGTGGGAGAAAACTAATTTCTCCTTTCGTGTTCAAAATAGATAAAAAGATTTCTAGCACAGAAAATTTTCACCAAAGATTTTGGATCCAAACAGCAGAAATGGAAAATTTCCCTGAAAACTATTTCATACTGTTAAATCTTTATCTTGAGGGAGAAAAACGATTTCTAATTTTGTGTTCAAAATAGATAAAAGGATTTTTAGCACAAAACAATTTTCACCACAGATTTTGGATCCAAACAGCATAAATGGAAAATTTCCCTGAAAACTATTTCCTAGTAATCATTTTAAGAATCCAAGTGGCCCCTTAGAGGAACTACCCCAACTGTTTTGATGAGGTATGGAATAACCTAAAATATAATATAATATGATTTTGCAAAAGCATCTCGAAGACTTTTTTGTTTTAGGCTTTTAGCATATTGGACATTCACTCCCTAAAATAAATGCTATCGAAGAGCATTCTTGAAACCCTGAGTATTGGCGACAAACCTCCTCAACCTAGTAACCAGCTTCAAAAAAGAAAAAGAAGAAGTATCAAAATTATGGGTACTCTTATAAGTGCTTGAAAAAAATTAAAAGATTGTGTAATTCTTGGATGATCAAATCCAATGTTGTGAGATTCGCTTCAAGGTGTTCTTCAGTTTGGTGATAAAAATGAATCAATTGGGTTCTTTAGCCGATTCGTAGGAAGACTTTAGATTTTTTTAAAAAAATTAATATAAATAAATTAGTTATTTATATATTAAAATATATTAAAAAAATAAAAAAATTAAATTAAAATTAAAATAAAATATTTTTTATAGATATTTCTTTTGGGCCGAAGAGGCCAAAGCTTCGGCCAAATCTTCCTGAAGCGGACTCGAATCTAGTCGAAGTGATAGCACCAATATATAAAAATAATAAAAAATTTAAATTAAAAATTTCAAAAAACAATAAAAATATACTTTTATATAGTTATTCCTTTGCTTGGGCCAAAAAGGCCGAAGCTTCGACTGAATCTACCCGAAGCAGACCCAAATCTAATCGAAGCAGCCTGAATTTGATCGAAGCAGCCTGAATTTGATTGAAGCGGCAGCATCAGGCTTCGCTTCTCTTCTATCTAGGCCTAAAATCTGAAGTTTTCAGCATCTTCAGCTGAAGCGAATCGAATTTAACAAAACTGATATGATCTAAGCATTTTAAGAAACCAAGATTAAAAAATTTCAAAATACTGCCTGTGATTCTAATGTGGATCCTAAAAATTTATTCAAGAAATTTTTTTTAAGTAAATCTTCCATGGAGTAAATGTACAATATGCTCCCATAGCAGTTGAACATGCTCTACAAAATGGTTTGGTATTTTCAAGTTTTTGGGCATTTTCTATTCACCCAAAAATGTATATTAATTTTTTTTTGGTGGTGGATCAGCCAAGAAAGAGTTCACTAATAGGAATTAAACTTTAAAATTTGAGGTATTTGATGCGTGCAACATTGTTGCATCTTTATTTGGGCAAACATATAACACTTTACATATCGGGCAGGGTCAAGACGGTAAAGGCAGCACAACATCTCTAAGTTCATTTGTGACCTTGTCAAAATAAATAAATAAGTATATCAATAAAAACAAACATGACTTTACATATCATGGTTTTACACATCAGACAAGAAAGGTATGGGGCACCTTATCTTGGTTTACACTTAGTGCGCTTGATTAAACTGATCAAGAATATTTAAAAAATAAAAAATCTCGAATGATTGAGCCTCCATGATTAAGGCTAGGAACTGATCAAGAATATTAAAAAAAAAAAAAACAACTCGAATGATTAAGCCTCCACATATATACTAACTTTTTGTGATACCGAGGTATCAAAATTTTTGTTTTGGGATAGGAATCGAATTTGAGATGTATAGTCGTGAAACCATAATTTTTAATTTTAATTGATTTGATCTGGAGATAAAAAAAACTATATAGAAAAGTTATTCGTGAGTCAGCTGGGCAGCGGGTGCAACAGCCGCTGACTCAATAACGTCCATCTCTAAGATAGAAGTTGTAAAAAACTTTTGGGGCTAAAATGAATTTAGACAGTGTCGAAATTTTTTTTTAAAAAAATCAACTTTTAAATATTGAATATTTTATTTTATTTTTCATATTCGGGATCACCTTAACTTAGATCATGAATCCCTAAAATTTTGAATAAAAAATCTCAATTTTAAGATAGTTTTAAGTGGGAGCCCACATATGCACAGTATGAATCGGATAACTCATAGAAACCTCATCCATTATATATGATTGAGAATTACTGTGTGAGAATCCTAATCAAGATGGCAAGGCTTGGGGCTATATATTCCCTATCTCAAACTAGAGATATGGGCTATGTGTTCTCTTATCTCAAAGCATAAATCTCTCCATATCGAGTCTCAATAAAGGGCAAAGTTTATATAGATCCGAGGCTCTAAACAATCAAATTAGCACTTATCTCAAAGTTTTCACTAGAAGAGGTTGTTTTGATGCTCAAGTATCATCAAATTGATCATCTCAACATCAAGGTGCATGGACAATCAGAAAAAAAATAGATTTCAAGTTTTGGAAATAGTGTATTTTGTAATGCATTTTTGGACAATCAATTTTCATGCTTTTCAAGTTTTCATAGATCTATCGATCTACACTATTTTTAAAGTTTTAAGTATATAACTAAAGATGATAATACATTTTTAGGCTATCACAAAGATTTTCAGTATTGAAACCACATTTCTCGATACTATTTGAAGGTAGGTTCTAATTTGATTGTTTAGAGCCTAGGCTCTATACAAACTGCATCCTTACATATGTATTTTAAAATAATATTTTATTTATTTTTGAAATAAAATCAATTATATCACTTTTTATTTTTAAAATTTTTTAGTTATGTTTTTTATTGTCTGGAAATTACAAATATAAAATTCGGGGATATGAAATGACTGAAGATTCGAGCTATAATATTCTCTCTCTCAAAGTAGGATCTCTTCCTTGTAGAATACTAATAGATACTGGTTCCATCCATATATAAAAATATAGGATCGAGACATATTCTAACTTTAAAGTTTATGTAATATTTTATAGAGAAATGATCTTATATGACCTCCCCCACCCATGTATATAGGACCTCAAAGGATCACTATTAAATTTGGTACAGTTATTTAGAAAAGTCAAGTCCTACACCCATGTGATAATTTTTTTAGATATCCATGCCAATTTTAATAGTGATCCTTTGGGATCCTACACCCATGGGTGGAGGAGAGTCTTATATAATGATTACTCTATTTTACAATAATAAAATATTACGATACTCAGATATTATTTAGAAAAAATTTCTCTCTATATAATGGAGATGACAAATAATTTATATTTAAATAGTGGACCTTATTTTTCTCTATAAAATAATAGAGATTATAAGTAAGAATTTATGATACTTAGATATTATTTAGAAAAAAATTCTCTATAAATAACGGAGATAACAAATACAAATAATTTATAATTACATACTGGACCTTATTTATCTCAATTCTATTAATTTTTATATTTTTCATAAAATTACGAATATTATACTTTTTTTTTGTCACAATAATATTTCAAATATGATTTGTATCTAACAACTCTAGTACTTTCTTTGATTTTCACGGTTTTAGAACCCAAAACACATTCAAAATTACTGCAAATCCGTTCTTGCTTCAGATCTATGAATCCAGAAACAGTACAAAGCAGGTGATCTTTGAAGAATTAACATGAACACTCTAAAAACAAAATTCAAGTATACTATTTTAAAGGCTAAAAATTTATTTCTTTTCGTGTTATACTGGTGTTCAATATGCTAAAACCGTAGAGTTTTGGATTCAAAATCCATATCCAAGGTAAATTTCATAAGGATGAAGCATCCTGCTAGAGCTGAGAATTGGTCGGATCAAAATCGGATCCGAAAAGTAAACATGGGATCTAGATCCAGACCCGATTTGATCCAAAACATTCAGATTTGGATTTGGATCTGAAAAGTATACATACGATTTGGATCCAGATCCAGACCCTATTGGATTAAAAAATTTATTTTATATATTATTTTATATGTAAAATAATATATAACAAAAAATACAATATAACATATACATATATGCATAATAATAATAATAATATATATTTAATTGGGTCGGATCCGGATCCCATGCAAATCCAAAGTTTAGATCTGGATCTGACCTGAATCCAAACCGAGTAAATTCTCACCCCTGCACTCTGCGACGCTCCTAAACCCTACCTTTTTAACATGGGAGGAGCGCCTCTGTATCTTCGAGACTATGAGTGCGGTCAGGCAATCCCTAACATTTTTCTGCCTCCCAAAAACCTCTCAAAATCTCCACATCAAAGCTCATTCCAAGAACAATTATTTCAATTTTTATCCATTTTAATATAAATTTATTTTTTTCTCCCTCTTTTCTATTTTATTAGTTCTTAAATAAGGTCTACTTTTTCCTCTGCCTTATTGCATGAAACACTCTCCTTGCTCGTACAAACCAGGCAACGGATTAATTCATTAAAAAGTGAACTTCAAATGAAACTCTATTGCATTTTGAAACTTAGACATATGTTAACACTTCACGATATAGGCCCGATACCTTTCGAGATCATCAATGCTTGGATACCATGTTGACGCGTCTGACACAAAGTTAAGATTTATTAAATACAGCATTTCTTGGAATAAAAAGTTGTGAACAACGTGAGTTCAAACCTCAAAGCATCTTAACTTTAAAGGGCGCAGGTCTGCCGCCAAACAAAGATGGAAACTACTATATTACTTCGAAGAATTTCATTATTAACGGCAATTATAAAAAAAGCAAGATCTTGAAAATTAAAAAAAATTACATAAATAAAATGCTTTTTGGATTTTTTATGTCCTATATTTGTTGATGTTTAATAATTCTAATTTGATCAAATTCATAAATTTAGCACAAAATTATTATATAAATACTTGTACCATGGTACCTGAAATTTTAGACACATTGCCGGTGTCCATGTAACACTCTTTTGAAGGCAAGGAAAAGAGGTTACACAAACCAAGCTTTCCATGAGGCATCTCATCCACACAATCCATTCATTGTGGGTTGGTGATCACATTTAAACAATGGGAGACACCCATGCTGCTGGACCGACCGTCCACTCCATTAGTGACTCAAAGCTTATTAAAGGTGAAACTTGAAGTGAGCCTGGCTTATAAGGTCAATTCCCTCTCTTGGGCCTTAGGCAACCCTTGGGGCACGGCAACAACCATTGCTAAACCTTCCACATCCAATCTATCACTCTGTTCATCACCTTTTCCCTTCAATCCAACGATCTCTTGAGCCCTGCAAGCCTGACCCACCCAATCAATCCTCAAAACCATGGTCACCATCAAAAAAGCACAGACTGCAACCCCAACCAAAAACCCGAAGAACACGCCCCGCAAGCCCATCTTTCTCCCAAACCCAAGCCAAGCACCCAAAGGCAACGCCAACACATAAAAACCAGCCAAATTCACCCACATCCCCACCCCCGGCGTCGCCGTTGCCCTCAAAACCCCACCGCACACCACCTGAGGAAAGTTAAACACCTCGAGAGCGGCCATAAGAGGCATCATCCTCTTAACCCCCCTGACCACTTCCCTGTTGTGGCTAAAAACCGAACCCCAAAGGCCCCGAGCTGAAACCATGATGACGCACCCTAGCCACCCACTGAAAACACCAAGCCCCAGAGTCATGGCCATGGCCTCATAGGCCTTTTGATGGTGCCCAGCCCCGAGCTCGTTGGCCACGCGAACTGAAGCGCATGTGGCCAATGACAACATGACCGAGTAGAGCACATAGTCAGCATTGAGTACGATAGCGAGCGTGGCCACGGACTGGCGCGCATTAGGTAGGCGACCTGTTAGCATCATAAGCAACTCATAGCACCACCATTCGAGGCATGTCATTAAACAACAAGGCGCCGCGAGCCTCAAAATGCAAGCAAATTCCTTGACCCATTGCCACCGCCCACGCCACCATCCACCAAGCCACGGACCACTTGTGGCTGCATAAGCGGCCATGAGTGCAGCCGCATTCAGGTCGGTCCACCACGAGACCAAGGCCACACCTTGAACCGAATGGGCCAGGAAAACATTGAGGGGAATGTGAAAAGCCAGGGCAATGGCCGAACATATCATAATGGACACTGTTTGGCACTGTGAGCTTAAGTAAGCTCTAAGAGGGCATAGCAACGAGGTGGCAATCAAGTCCGGCAACAGGTGCACCAAGTACACACGAGCAACGTTCGATAGCTCGTGGTCCTGGCCGAAGAAAATGAGGATTTTGTGTGCGTTTAGCCATAGGTAAGAGATGGGTAAGGAGGCCAACAAGAGGAAGAAGATGGTCAGGACCAGGGTCCGGTTTAGGAGGGCGTGGTTTCGAGCACCAAAGGCTTGGCCACATATGGGCTCCATAGCGCCTGTAAGGCCTGAAAGCACCGAAAAGCCTGTGACATTGGCGAAGGTCAGGCCGAGTGCACCACCTGCAAGGTTGAGAGGGCCTAAGTGGCCAAGAAAGGCTGTAGAGATTATGAGTTTCGTGAACCACATGAGGTTCATGGCGAGTATGGGGAGGCCTATGTGACTTTGTTGTTTTAGCTCTGAAAACAAGGTTTTTTTGAGATTGGGGGGCCATTTTTTGATGTGGGGTAGTGGTGGGTTTGGAGGGTCATGGGTTTGCTCAGTTTTTTCTGCTTTTGGGGGAGGTGAAGGCATGGTTAAGAGGATGTAAGAGGGCCAATGGGAAAGAGGAGTGAGAAAAATAGGAGGTTAAAGTGCCAAAAGGAGTGAGGACTCAGAAAAATGGTAGGCTGGAAGATTAATGAGGAAACTGAAAAGCTGCATGCGTTTCGTGTGCAGACAAAAATGGTTAGGCATGAGAGAGAGAGAGAGGTTTTATGAGGGCTTGGAGAGAGAGAGAGAGAGGTTTTTTGAGGGGTTGTACCACCTAAATTGGTGGTTATGGTGATTGGACTTGTTGCTGATTTGGGTGTGATTTTATTGGAGATTGGGTGCGTTCTGAGAAGGCATTCACTAAGTGAGAGAGAGAATGAGAGAGTATTGAGGGTCCAGAAAATCAACGTGCATGTCCACTAACGCACCGTGACAAGCTTTTTGGTTCATTGTCGCTTGTTTTATAGCAAGGTTTTGCCTATCTGCGCCCCATACGTTATGCACGAAAATCCCTCATATTTGCTAATAATAGTTAGTTATGCATTCGTACTGCCTTTCGTGATTCCTCATTTGTCGTACTCACTCACTCATGAGTGAGAGAGGATCTCAAATGTCCAACTGAAGCTCCACTCACAACCGGTCCCATCGCATCCAAGTCTAGTCCAGGTCCAACCGGACCATCATTCACCAGACCCAAACCCAAATACCATCATTCACCATACCCAAACCCAAATAGTTTCCAGACCCAAGATTTGGACCCAAACCTGGGTCCAATTTTCAGACCCATACCTAGACCCCAATCAGGTCCACCCCTCACGGGTCTGAGTTCGGATCCGGGTCAGGGTCCGGGTCCATTGCCAGCCCTAGATAACACATCCATAGTAGAATTAGTAGACCGATTATTCCATGGGGTTATATATTCACTACCGTTTTATTTGTTTTGTTATCGTTGAAGTGACAACATCAATGCAATTCCTTAAACGTGTTTGTCAACAGCTAAATTACAAGACATACCTTGTGCGAGTCTCTAAGCACCCCAGATATCTATGCTCAGAAATGACAGGTCTTCGGAACACTATAAAAGACTTGATCATGAGATGCTCACTCATTTGGCTTTTCTCTTCACAAATAAAAAAGAATTGGTTAAGCTCAAACAGACAGCTCTTAAGAAAACTGAAAAACAAAACAAGATCATGAGATACGCACTAGGGTTACCATTTGGCTTTTCTCTTAACAAATAGAAAAGAACTAGCAGAGAGAGAGAGAGAGATTGAGCACCAGTATCAGTAAAGAACAAACTGTGACAAGGAGAGGACATGAATAAAACAATGAGAAAATTGGAACATAGCACTTGAGAAATCCACTCCGATACCGAACTAGCCTGCTCTACTCATTTTCTAACTCTACCAACGAGTGTTCTAGCACCCCAAGCCAAACACCAACTTCACTTGAGCCATTATTCTACACATCCTCAGGATTACTGAAAAATAGAAAGGGGAACGTAACCCCAAAAAGATACAGATTTAAACAAAGGGATCAAAATATCATACAATCTAAACCATACATTGCTCACTCAACAAGACCTAAGCAAGATCGGCCCAACTCTAGATCTCAGCATATCACTCAAAGCCAACTGAACCTCATTAGAGCCATGCTCACAACCCACCAAACCCGAAAGCAATGGAAAGAATCGACTCAAATTACTCTCAAATGACGAGCCCTCGAGACCACAAATGGCTTGGAGTGTGGCCACCACAAGGGGTGCACGGGCAGCCAACTCCCTCCTCTTTGCTGAGCCAAGGGGGATGGGCCATCGAGCTCTAGATACGGTGCTAGTGGACTCAGTTGAGGGCTCACACTGAGCTCTGGGCTCCATGCTCGTGGACCCGGGTAAGGTTATAGATTGAGCTGTTTTGAGATAGACTTGCAAGACTTCTTTGCATAGTTCAAGGAAGGTCTCCACTTCAACCTCTCCATCTTTGGTGTCCCTATCGAGTAAGAGATTCTGGAGTAGGGTAAGACATACTTGGTAGGACTCATTCTCGAGGCGAAGCAATGGTGGATCTTGCATCTGGGTTGTGGGGCCGAGCTCTTGAAGCTTTGCACGCACGAAAGAGTCGCAGTTTATCTCGTGAGCGTAAGATGCAACTGTGTGTATGGCTTCAAAGAGGATAACAGTGTTCTTGGCCGACAGCTGAGCTCTGTACATGTTGTAAATCTCCATCACAGCCTACAAAAGTGCATCAGAAGAAGATCAGCAATTCATGTGTCCCGCAAAAAAAATGCTCAATATATGTATCTGATACGTATATTTTATCAATGGCATACTATATATTCTAAGACGTAATATCTCATAGGCTGGTGTGTGGTTTGGAAGCCTCACAGAAGGGGGCTTACACAAAAGAGGACCGAAAGAATGTAATCAGATTCTGTTCAGTAAATGATGATGGTTTTTCATGCAATAGGAACTCCGGCAATGTGTCATTCAAGATAAACATGGCTTAAATGAATCAGGGAGGGTACCAACACAAATAAGCGATTGCGCATGGAATGTACTTGGAGGGCTGTTTCATGCGTGCATCGAACATATATGCTGCCAAAGACAGGTGAGCTCACCATGCTGAGGAAAGACTAATGGTAGGGCACTACACCAAGGGAAACTTCTTCCCTAGTCAGTTTACTCTCGCAATAGACAGAACGTATCCATAGAGCAACCTTATGAGCCCCTAGGTGGCTTACTTATCAGGGTTCTGAAGTTTTGAAGGAACCATAGGGGCCTGAAATAGCAGACTCGTTGACCCTCTTAGGCCTACTCTAAAATCAGTACCTGCCCCACAAAGGTAGGAACAAACTTTCTGGCCCGTACCAGCTTTCCGCCCTCACCTCCACTTCCTCTGGGCCTGTGGTAGCGAGCAGGGCATGCATTACTTCAGTCCCCCTTTAAGATTCAAGCCTTCAATAGACATGTATATCCAAAAACGTACTTACTATTGACAAAATTCAGAGAGGTATCCCAATCCCTAATCACCATGTCGAGCATAGAAACACTGAAGAAAATGTAGATCACTAATTCTTGTCCTGCCCGATTACTGCTCAAGTATAGGCTGCCACACTAGGCATTTTTTAGTGGTGGTTGATCTGGCCCAAAAGCACTGAAGTCCTCTTCACTGCCTACCACTCACCCCCAATCCCAAATGCAGATATTTTCTTATGGCAGGCTACCATTCTAGCCTCGATTTGGAACTTGTTGCTCAAACACAATGCCAAAACTTTTGATAGCAAAAAGAGAGAGGGTGTGAGCCCTGTGCTCAAAAAGATAGAGCCACAATTATATTTTGGGCTCAAAGCTGTAAGGCTTTTGTTGACTGATCATCTTCCTAGAGAATTGAGGGAACATCAGCACAGTAGGCCTATGGGCATAGCAAAATCAGGTTTATCAAGGCCTCCTCCATTGGGAGTTGTTAGCCTCAATTTCAAATGGTTTTCCTTAGCCAACCTGGGTCCTGGGGTGGGTGGCTAGTTAAGGAACCATCTATACCATTGTCTACTCTTGTATGCAAGGCCATATTGGGTATGTTGATTTCACCAGGACCCAGGCGTTGGTTCTTCTCAAGGGTCAGAAACTCTTTGGCTCTGGTTAAGGTCACTCCTCCAAGTGGTTCAGATTTCATTCAGTGGTAACTGCTGGGACTCCACGCAAGCTCCATATCCTCAGTACCTCAAACCTTTGTTCAACCATAACTTGGCATGGTCTCATTCACTTATATATGGTGGGAGGCTAACCTAGAGAGCTGATAAACTCACCAAGGAGGGGACAATAGGAATTTGTGAATTGTGATCAACGCATTAGTGTCATAAAGGGACAGTTTTGTAACTCAACAGTGTATAATTTTACTTATTACTTTTCTCTGTTTTAATCAGTGCTTAAAAATCGCTGATCCTTCACGGAAACCCAAGTCAGATTGTTATCGGCCAACCTGATCCATTTTCCTTATGGGATGGGGAATCAGCCCGGTTGATAAAAAATTGCCCTTTTCATCGGAACAAGCCGGGCGATTTTTGGCTAAAATAGGGGATCACCTGACTGGCCAAGGATTCAAGTGATTCCCTGGAATCTCAATCAGCTCAAGAGAGTAGGGGCTTTTGTGATGAAAAATCAGATTGGACAGAATCGACAAATTCAACATTCAAGTCCGGTGCCTATAAAAGGACTTGTAGGTTGTTTGTTTAGATCAGAGTGCTGCTTAGAGCCTCTCAGTCTAGATTTACTGCTTTGGTGTGCTGCTTTCTGCTTTCGTTCTTCTTTCTGCTTAAGCTTTGGTTTATGTTCTGTTAAGCTTTACTTCCTTTGCTTTATTTCTTCATGTTAATGTTTACAAGCAAGCTTCTGTTTTCTCTTACTCTGTTCATCTTGTTCATTATGGCCTTCCTTAATTCTGTTTGAGTGAACATGCATCTATAATGGTATCAGAGCCATAAGTTGTTGATTTTTTAAGGATATTATTTTGACTGGGTTAATCTCTGGTTCATATTGAGATTAGTATGCTCTGCGTCTGCCTAGCTGGACTAAGATCTCTCGCATCAGAAGACGTGGTATGTGCTGAAGGTTGATTTCAGGTGTTGATGTTATTCCACTGTCAATGCTTTCTGAAGTTGACATAACAGAAACTCTGTTAAAAGCTAAGAGGCCGTGGTTGGAGTTCATATCTTGTTAACACAAAAGGAAAGCTGGCCTTCCCTTCTTTTCAAAAAATACAGTCAATTTAATAATCCATATTTTAGAAAATGGCAGAAGATACTGTTTCAGAGGTTTCAATAGACAATACCCCTTCTTCTAGTTCTAATTTCCGTCCTATGTTTTCAAAAGAAGATCACCTTTTCGAAATAACTTATACTCCAGAAAAGTTTTCATAAACCAATTCTCAGTTGATAAATCCTTATCATGTCTATGATAAGTCTAGTTTAAATTGGACCGAAAGAATTAAAAGTTGTGTGGGAAAAAGAACGCTGAAGCTATTAAAGAATATGTTCAAGCCTCTTCTTTTGACCAACACCAAATACCAGCTACCCAATCTGAACAATATATTACCATCACCCAACCTAGTAACCTATTTCCCCAAAAGCTTAAAGAAGGCTATACCCATATTCATTTTGGCACCATAAAGCTAGCTCTGACGTTTTATGGAAGAAAAGGTATGGAAGCACTTTATCGAATTGCTCTGCTAGATTCTAGGTTTTTAGAATACCAGCATGCATGTATTGGAACTGTTCAAACAACCTTGAATGCAGGAACCATCTTTGTTACCTTTTTTCCTAATTTCAATATCCCAATCAAATACTCTCATTTGAGTTCAGCTTTTAAAGTCCAGTGACAGATTACAGGCACAAAACAGATTGAAACAGCAACGGTAGCTACACTCCATTATCAAATGGTGTATAGATTACAGAACCATGCTTTTGACATAGTTACCCCTTTATCCCCTGAACAAGAAAATACTGCACTGTTTATCAAAATTGATAACAATTCCCAACCTGTCTGTCATTATATTCCTAGACAAATCTCTTGAGAAAGGTTGCTAAAGTTGATAGCATCTACATGGGTGACAAACTATGAAACTCTTCAAAACCAATGTCAGCCATTGATACAATCAAATTCTAGAATGACTAGAATGCCAGATGGAACTGTGCAGATAAATTTTCAAAGTCAAAGAATAACCGAGAACCAGACAAGAGAAATATTTCCTACCCAATTCCAAGGAATACTTGAAAAAGTTCCGATAGTTGCCTTTGACAAAACAGGAAAGCCAGTTTATGAACAAAAAACTGCAGATGGCCATAACTGGTTTGACACCTGTAATTGCTCTTCTTGCCTTGAAAAAGAATTAGATGATTTTCCAAAAAGAAAAAACAGAAAGAAAAAATCATCACAACAAAACCTTGATCAAAGATGCATGGAGGGTGATCCATCTGTCGGATTGCTTGGAGAAAGATCGGGTAAATGGGATTACTATGTAACATATGGTTGTTCAAACCCAAATCCCAAACCCACTGTTTCAGATATCATCCCTTTAGGATGGGATGATCCAGAAGAAAAGCAGATTTCAAATTGCTTAGCTTTTGATCCACAATGTCCAAGTTATACCTCAAATTTTCCCCCATTACATGATTTTGAGAAACCCCAAGAAAATGAAAGGCATGTATGGAAAATTAAGAATCCCAACAAAAGAGATGCTACAGGTTTACAAAATTCCATTTCTCTAGCCGAAGCTAGTTTAAATTGGCAAGCAAAGAATGCTAAATCTCAAAATTTAGCACTACTTTGAATAGAAGAAAAGCAAAATGCGATGTCTACTCAGATGCAGGGATTATCAGGTATAATAGTTCAATTAAAAGAAGGAATTCAATTGTTGCATGACGAATTGATGCATATCTTGTATACAGTCAAAGATATCAATGAGCAAACTTATTTGCTAGTTCAAAAAGGGCAAGATAAAGCCTCCTTGGAAAAACAGCTGCAAAGTCTTGAAAAAGACCTTTGGAAATCCCAGTACCAATCCCAATTCCAACCATTTCCACATACCCAAGCTTATCCCACTTTAAGAAGTCCTGATCCTTTTCCTCCTACAAGAACTCTTTACCCACCTACTGGTCTCATTCCTCCCAAAAATTATGGTTTCAGACCATTGAGGACTTTTGAACAGGAAAGACAGTTTCCTGAAGCAATGTCTTTTCCTCAATTAAGAAAAAAGCCAAGTATGCATGCTCCATCTTCATCTCAACATCCAATTCCCAATTCCCCAACATCCTTACCATCATCTGCAGTCCAACCTTCCATTGATCCCCAATTACCAAAACAAGAAACCCATATGTTTCAAAATTCAAATACTGAATCATATGTTGTGGCATCTTCTGTTCTAGTTCAAATGCATATTCCTGCTAAACCCTTGAATGATATGAGTTTTTTTCTTAAGAACTTGAAAAAACAGCCTGAAGTTAATCTTCAAAATGAAACCCACCGCTCAGATGATATGTCTAATACATCTGAAACATTTATTGAAGATAAATCTTCCTCTTCTATGGATTCAGAATCCTCATTGATGATGAATCCTCCAGAACAGCCACTTGAACCTGACCCAGTTATGGAAAAAGACCTCATATCACCTAACCACCAAGAACCTCAACCACTTCCCACCTATGGTGACTCGTCCAAAGGCTTTACAATTGATGACA